CAAGTGCCAATATATACTACATGAATTTTATTTACAAGAATTTTAAACCATCAAATTTTTTGTGCCCTGAATTCAAGTGCCAATATAAACTATAAAAATTTTAAACGATCAAATTTTTTGTTTATTGTTAATTTAAAAGCTCTTAAAAAATTAAAATTTGTTGTCTAAAAAACTAATTATCTTATAATTTATAATTAAGGTTCATCGCATCCTCAAAATCTTTCCTAAATTATATTGAATTAATTATTTCAATATCGAAGATTGAATAAAAAAAAATTATTATAATTTTGAACAAGTGGATAGAATTTTTTGAAGTGCTGAAAATATTTCTCCTGACTAAGATCTTATCAATTATTTAGTTTACATAACCTCTTGATTGTAATTAGAAACACAAAAGTTAATTTAGTAATACCATTACATATACGTTGGTAAATATTTTATTATTTCATTTATATATTGGCTGAATTATGATTACTTTCACATCTTCTTCTTATGATGGTATAAGTTTGTGTTTTTCTTTTTTTTTTTTAACAGATTATATTATCATTATTATTCATACGGACCACTTAATTATAATTTTTATTAAAAATTATGTTTTGAACTCTTTTTACCATAGAATGAAAAAAAAAACAAGGATTAAGCTCATAATCTTATAAATCATATTATTGAACCTTAATGTTGTAGTTGTTTTAATATTATCATAATTTCAACTCAACTAAGTTTTTAAAAATTATCAATTATTGTTTAATTTAATAATTAATATGTTTATTTTTTATAAAAAATTATAAATTTTTTAATTACTGTGATATCATATTTTCATATATTTTTATTATATTATAATTATTATCTATATATAATACGTAATTGATAAATATATAATTTTTTTTATAAGAGAATTAAAGAAATATTTTTAAACAAATAATTAAAATTTAATTTTGTTATTGCTTTTAAAGTTATTGCATCAATTAAAAAAGTTATATCCATTCATTTGAAAACTCATATCAAAGGGCACAATTGTATAGTTACAGAATTCAAAAAACTCAAAAGTAAATGTAAATTAAATATATATATATATATATATATATTTCAATTAGCCAATGACTATTAAAAAAATAAAAAAAATAATTTACTTAATCTAAAACATCAAAAATTAGAACTTGAAATTTCTAACGCAATCTTCTTAAGATAATTGCCTGCACCAAGCAAGGTATAGAAAAAGTGTGTATATTTATATTTCTCCTAATAATTAATTTTCCTTGAAAAGTCAAGTGTAATAAATATTGCTTTCAGCAGCGCTTTGATATTTAGCACAGCACATTGGATTGTGGAATTCCAGAGAGACAGATAACAATGGAGTCTTTAGGGATTGATTTGAGTTGCGCAATCGGACCTCTGCGAGACGGTGCATTTCCGGACAAAGAATGTTTGCTCCCGCTCATCTCAAAGCTCCTTGGCTACTGCATCGTCGCCGCCTCCACAACTGTTAAGCTCCCTCAGGTACTGTTTACGGGAAACCAAACCCTTAATCTGCCGTCTGTTTTTTTTTTTTTCATTTTTAATCAAGTTCTTGGTGATCTGCCTACTGTTACGAGCAAAAACATGTTAGATCTCGCTTGGTAATCTGGAGATTTCGGTGTAATTTTTGTTTGATTATATTGAAATGGAAAAGGACTACGATTCCTCGTGAGTACAATGTTCTTAGCTGATTATAGGCCAAATTTTCTTGCCTTGAATTCGTTTGGAGATGACATTGCAACTAGATCATTCGATGGAGCGTGATTAGCATTTTCCTGCATAAGTTTCTGGGATTTTGACTTCAGAAAAGTGCTTCTTGCTTAGTAGCTATTTGAAAAATGTTCCAGGCACTACCAAACGAGGAGCAGATTTAAAATTTCTGGCGGAGACTTAGGGACATCTCTGTTTTCGTTTGCACAAGTTGAATTATTCTCTTGCTACGCCTGATTAATTTTTCTTCATGACTTCACTTTGTTTAGGATTAGGAAAGTTTGGTCGAGGGTTTTGATGGAATCTGTTTTATAGGACTTTCACTCTGTTATGCTGAGTATTTTTAATATATAATTGCAGATATTAAAAATTTTGAAGCATAGAAGTGTAAGAGGGCTAAGTTTAGTTGCCTTTGAGCTTGAAGTGGTTGGTTATACTATTGCTCTGGCCTATTGTCTTCACAAAGGACTACCCTTTTCAGCTTATGGGGAAATGGCGTTTCTTTTGATCCAAGGTAAGTTTGAAGACTTATCATAGTATTATCAAAGTAAAAATACAGGGGAGGTCCTTGAATTGGGATATATTGAGGAAAAGTAACGTGAAAGAGACAAAACAAAGGAAGAAGAAGAGAAAAATGAAGTTTTGATACTTAGTTGTTATATAACTTACTGATTAAAAATTGAATTAATAAAAACTACGTAGAGGTGCCTTTTATAGAGGCTTACATCAGAACTTAACCAACATATATCTCGGACTATTTATTATCTGCTTCTAGTTTAAATAGTGGAAACAAACTCTATCTTACCACTATACTCAGTCAAACAAATCTAAACAAAGATAAGGTCAAATTTTGACTCATTCTTCAACACTCCCCCTTGATTCAAAGCTGCGGATGCCAAACAATCTTCTAAAGTAGCAGAATTTTTCTTTGAGTAAAGCCTTTGTCAGCATATCAGCTAGTTGTTCTTCGGTACTGCAGTACTTCAATGATATCTCCTCCTTCTCTACTAAATCATGAATAAAATGATAGCGAATATCAATATGCTTTGTTCTGCTATGGAATGTTGGATTCTTTGTCATGGAGATAGTTGCCTTGTTGTCACAGCATATCTCTGTTACTCCCTTATGCTTTTGTTGAAGATCTGCTAATACTCTTCTCAGCCAAATAGCTTGACAAGCTGCTGAAGTTGCTGCAATATACTCAGCTTCTGAAGTTGACAATGCAATTGTAGCTTGTTTTTTTGGCGATCACCCCTGATCCTAGAGTGAAAAGATTAGCTGAAATACTCCGTCTATCATCCAACGAACTTGCCCAATCGCTATTCGTATGCCCACACAATCTGAAATTAGAAACTTTAGAATACCAAATGCTATATTCTAAGGTTCCAGCAATATATCGCAAGACCCTTTTTGCTGCTCCATAATGAACCTTTCAAAGTTGTTGCATAAATATGGAAATAACACTAGTAGGAAATACAATATCGGGTCTAGTGTGAGTTAGATAAATTGAACCTCCAACCAAGCTTCTAAATCTCCTAACTTCTGCCCTCTCTTCCCCATCTTCTTGCTGCAACTTTTCATTGATATTCATAGGTGTAGCTGCAGGCTTGCAATTAAGCATGCCAAATTTGTTGAGAAAATCCTTGGCATATTTCCTTTGTGAAATAAAAATACCATCTTCAGCTTGATAGACTTCAAGACCCAGGAAATAATGTAATAAACCCATATCTGACATCTCAAACTCATTCATCATTTGAGATTTAAACTCATCAACAAGTAAAGTAGAAGAACTAGTATAAATGATGTCATCAACGTAAAGACAGACAATGATGAAATTATTTTTTCCTTCCTTTTTCACATATAAAGTGAGTTCATTTTCACTTCTCATGTATCCGTTCTTCTGAAAATATCCATCAATCTTGCCATACCATGCTCGAGGGGCTTGCTTCAATCCATACAATGCATTTTTCAGTTTGTGCACCTTTGTCTCACTGCCCTCCTTTATGAAACCTTCTGGTTGTACTACATAGACCTCCTCTTGCAAATCTCCATTTAAGAATGCTGACTTGACATCAAATTGATAAACAGGTCATTGCAATTGTGCAGCTAATGCTAAAACAAGCCTCACTGTTGCAAACCGTGCTACCGGAGAGAGAGTTTCTTCTAAATCTACACCATATTGTTGTGCATAACCTTTTGCCACAAGACGAGTTTTGTGCTTTTGTATGATTCCATCTGCGGCAAATTTTGTCTTGAACACCCACTTTAAGCCAATTGCTTTTTTGCCTTCCGGTAAGTCGACCATCTCCCATGGTCTATTTTTTTCTATTGTTGTTATTTCTTCCACCGTTGCTTTCTACCATTCTTCTTTTTCAGTTGCTTAAACGACAAGAGCAAACTGACAAGAAGTAAAAAAGTCATCAGCATATTTAAGATTTGGCTTTCTAACACTTGTTGATCTTCTTAATGGAATTGGTACTGCAGAAGACTCTTCAAGAGTTGTTGATGCTGTTGCATTGCTAGCTTGTGGATTTGTAGGAGTTGACTCTTGTCTTTAATCTGAAGGAACTTCAATGGGCATAGGAATCTCCTGTTGTATATGCTCTTAACTCCAATCCTAGCTCACATTTTCATCAAATATTACATCCCTTCTAATCAAAATCTTGTCACTAAGGGGGTTATACAATCTATATGCCTTGGATTGAGTATAATAACCAATAAAAATGCATTTTTCTGATTTTTCATCAAGCTTCTGACGAGCTTGAGAATTTATTAAAGCATAAGTAACACATCCAAACACTGGTAAAAAACTTACATTTGGTCTCCTTCTATACTAAGCTTCATATGGAGTTTGATTCAAGACAGCCCTTGTTGGTGAGGGATTCAATACATAGACGAATGTTGCTACAGCTTCTGCCCAAAATTGGTTTGAAAGTCGCATTGCTTGCAACATACTTCTAGCCATTTCTGCAACAGTTCGATTCTTCCGCTTAGCGACACCATTTTGCTCTAGAGTATAAGGAGTTGTTAACTCCCTACGGATGCCATTTTCTTTGCAAAACTGATTAAATTTCTTGGACACAAATTCTCCTCCCCTATATTTGCGAAGAGCCTTGATACGACAATCACTTTGATTTTCCATTATAGCTTTAAATTTCTAGAACTTCTCAAAAGTTTCTGACTTGTTTTCCAGAAAATATATCCAACTCATGCGGCTATAGTGATCAGTAAATAGCAAGAAGTAACGACTCCCACCTAAGGACTTAGTTTGCATTGGCCCACACAAATCAGCATGTACCAATTCTAGACATTTGGTAGCTCTCCAGGATTTTCCTACAGGAAATGACTTCTTGATTTGCTTGCCGTAG